CATCTAAACTAAGGTCTAAACTTGTGACAGGACTCGGTTTGCTTCCTGGACCCCGTGCGGAAGGCGGTGAGTGAGTTCTGTTTAAATGAGCCTCATTAAAGTCCTGGTTGCCATCCTCAGAGGTGACTAGCTTTTCCTTCCGTAGCAACAGCAGCTAGCTTAGCATGCTAACCAGCGTCAGAGGTTTAGGTCGGTGCAGCAGCTTCACCGCCTCAGAAGGGAAAATTAACAACAATTTTAATCCAGAAACACTTTTATTCGCGTGTTTAACTGACCAATGAGCGCAGGAGGCTAATACCTGGAAGTGTCACAGTGTTCAAGCTTCAATAACTGTCGGAGCTGCTTTTGTCCTTATTAATTTGTAGCTTTTTGAACAGATTTTGGGAGAAAACTCGTGTGATATCCGGTTATATAAATAAAACCATGTTGTAATAGATGTTCCCTTTTCCTGAGCGTTAGATTTAAAGTGTGTGAGGCTGTAATTAGAAACATCACCAGGCTTCGTGTTTCTATGAGCCAGTGGGTTAGTGCATAACTCACAGGACATTGCTTTCTAGTTGCACAATCTTGGGAAAATCTATTACATTTAAAAAGTTTATACTAATACTAGTAATTTTTAATGTGTCAAACAGCTGTTTGTTGCATCTTAACAAGGTTGCTCACCATCAGTTAGTAAAGCAATAATCAGAATTGGTTAATTTTCCCTCGATCAGCTCTTGATTAATGATCAGCAGGACAGTAATCTAAAGAAACTACCCCAATTTTCCACTTAAAAAAATCATTTATTAACTACATGAACCTGCAGCCACTGTTTGGCTACAATAAAAGCAACATTTGATTTAAAACGGCTGGTTCTATTTGGTAAAAGGTATAAAAAAATGATTTTTATTTTTTTTCTTCCGTTATAGTCCTGAGGAGAAAATTGGGAATTGTCAAAGAAAAGCAAAAATCTATTAGCCTGAAAAAGGTTAACTGAAGCAAAAATTGCATGCATTAATACTAATTTACATTTTTTACTTTTTGGCTCCAGGGAGCTTGTGCTCATCTCTCCCCAGGAGAGAGTCTCCTCTTCGGCTCACTGGCTTCAGGTTAGCCACCATGGACCATACAGATGTAGAACGTAAGTCTTTCAGCTTTATTTCCTCATAATCGGCTTAAACATTTTTTTCATAGTTTTTTTTATTCTTTCTTTTAGGTTCAGCCGCCTATTCTCATTTACACTGATTCACAATTGTCCCTACGTAATTCTTTTTTCCTGCTATTGTTTCCTCTGTAGAGGTGACTCTGGCTCTGCTAGATGCAGCCAACGATAAGGACTCTGAGGTCCAGGATCAGGTCAGAAAGTCCATGTTGACTTTGGGGAAACAGCAGCCAGACAGAGTGTTAGCCATGTGCCAGGACTACCTGCTGAAACACCCCAAGGTAAAACCTGACATTCCTCTACTGTCTTGAATTGGACAATCAAGATGCATAAATAAAATGACAGATAACTTTTGTTTAGAAAAATTTTCTTCACTACTTTTAATCCCTCTGTAAACTGAATTTCTTTCCCCACAATTGAATCTTTTCATCCTCCAAAAACTCCAGTTTGATCCATTTCCATCAGATCAAACAGTTTTTAAAAAAAGTCTGCAGTCTGAACATTCATGTTTTTACGTCATATTTGGGACTCCCTCTTCACATCCATGCAGACATCTCTGCAGCAAAACCATCGTCACTGATAACAGGTGCTCTGTTTTTACTGACCTTTCTTCTTTGTTAATGATGGAGCCATGATGCTGTCAGCTACCATCGCTCAGGACATTTATAACAACACCAGCAACCACTGTCAAACTTTTTTCTTATATTGCTTTATTGAACACTTTTAGTGACAGTCATCATTACTTCTGTAAACGGTTTGCTGTAGTTTAGGCCTGAATTAATCGGTTTAATCACGATTAATCAATTATTGAAATAATCATCAACTAATTAAGCAATCGATTCATTTTTAACTGGAGTATGAACTCAAAAAATGCCTTTAACTGACAGAGCGACCTGCTAAGAGCAGTAATTATATCAGAATTGTAAAAAATATATAAAAATTTAGGATAAAAAAAAAATTTTTGTCTGTGAATCTGCTCTATCCAGAACTCCTCAAGTGGCAAAGTTTTAGTTTCCCCTGGTTTTAATCCGTAACGAATCTTCTTTATAGAACCTTTGCCTATCCGATGATTAATCAAAAAAATATAATTTGAAAAATAATGGTTAGTCCTATTGTAGTGTAATTTCTACATTCTCCTGCATGTCCGAGTGGCTTTGATGTCTTGAGCCGTTCAGATTGATGTCTGATGGCGGTCGTATTTAATTAAGGATCATGCAAAACTCTATTTCAGGCAAAAGAAAAGTCAGATATAAAAATAAAGAGCTGCAATATGATTTTAGTCTTAAATATTTTTGCTCTTAATGGCTAAAGAGCTATAACTGGACTTTTCTATCTAAAACCTTATCAAAAGGAATTCTGTCCCTGTTTTCACTCCGTTTGTTTTTTTGTTTTTTTTTTGTCACATTGATTACATAAAGACAAGTTATTTCCAACTAGGTCAATTTCTATACCCTAGAGACAGTTGTTCCCTCTAAATATTTATCTGAGATCTAACCTACTAATAGTCAGCTCTGCTCACATTGTCGACGGCAGTGTGATCATAAAGTTGGTCATGTGAAAGTTCCTTTAACTTCCCTCTGAAGGAGCTAATATCTAACCAGAATGTGGATTGTGTTAAACAAAACACCCTCCTGCAAACTGGCTGCTGCATGCTTTGATGAACATGGTGATCTATAAATTAGGAAATGAAACTGTGTCAAAACTACTTTGGAAGCAACGCTCATCTCACCATGTGATCTTGGAAACGGCATCAGAAATTAAATTAGTAACGGATTCAGTAAAATAATAGACGTGGTGTCACGATCGCTGATCTAATTGGTTCACAGATTTTAATTTAACTGTTTTAGTTTTAATCTAAATGACTTTTATAACAGCCCTGTTGATAAATTATACATGTTTAACCGTGAGGTTTAAAGGCCTAAAGATCTACTTTATTCCTGCTGCCTTCAGCTCTCTGACTCAGCTGGTCACTATATAAACGGATCCATCTTATCACAGCCACTGATCGTTCTATCTCTGCTTTTATTGCGACATTACATTAAGGAAACATTTTTAAACCATGAGTGATGCAGCACAAAAAGGAAGAAGAATGAATTTAATCAAACAATCTCTGTAATGCAGATGTCTGTGTAGAAAGCAGCTTTTAAAATTTGAGTGCTCATTTTCCTGCTAAGTGCTGCAACTAAGTGCTGGAAAACATACTTCATATTGCTTTGTCGTGTTATTTTTTCATGTATGTTGGTGTATTCTTCACTCTTTGTGTTTTTCTCTTGTGCAGCTGGTGGTAAGTCACAGAGTTGTGGTTCTTCAGACCATTGAGCTGGTTGTTGGCTGCAGGATAGAGGAGATCAGTGCTCCTAGAATAAAGAGCATTATCTCCCTTGCTTCAGATGAAATGACCAGATCCAAGGTGAAGTGATGTTCTTCTTCCTTTAAAAAAACACAAAGTAAATTCATCTTAAAGTCAGATCCAAGAGTTCTATGCTTATTTATTTATTTATGTGTTTTTTTTTTTCTATTTTAGGAGGTCATTCCTGACTGGCAGCAGGCAGCCAGTAACATTTTGGTCGCTGTGGGAAACAAACACATCAATGACATCATGGAGGAGATACTAAGCAAGTTCCAGCCAGGGGTTCTACCTCACTTCTTCGTGGTCCAAACATTGGCCAACCTATCTGACTCAAACGGTGAGAGACAAAAAGGGGAAGAAACCTTTCTATCTAAGAGGTCACAGAGCGGCTCAGATGAACTGAATGGGAAGTCACAACTTTGGCAGGAAAGTATTCAGTGACTGTTGGGGAAAAAAAACAGGAACCTGTTAAACCTGCTCAGAATTTTACTTACTTCATTGTTTTTAACTTGGCTCCAAAAGCAGGAGGATCCACTGAAATACACCAGGTTCCTAAACTTAGCAGAGATTATGCTGCCATTGAAAAGTACTGTTTATTTTAAGCCAACAACATGACAGCCTATCAGAAACTACAAGATTTATCAGACCAACTGAAGGCAGCTGAACGCATCAGTAGTTGATGATAACAGGAGAGATCAGTGTCTCCCTCGCACTCCCCCTCACAGAAAGCAGTAAATTATTCACCCCCTCTATGTGTTTGTAGTTAATTGTATTAGTTTTATTAGCCTTGCTGAATGACGGCAGATCAGATCAGGAGCTATTTCTGTGTCTGTGGTCGTTCCTCTGCAGGCCTCTCCTCCGTGTCTCTGACGCAGACGCACTGCGTCACACTCACAAAATCAATTTTTTATGTCGCTCCTTTAAAAGAAACACATTAAATTATTCTTCTTTGTGCATTAGTGTTGATAAACGTATGACGTTTAAAAAAAAAAAAAAAAAAAGCAGCATACTCTGGGGAAGCACCAGATATCTTCCTAATTTTTAAACCATTTTTAAATTTCATTAAAATTGCTTAATTGATTTTACCCTACAACCTCCTTTCTCAGTTAATTTTTGTTTTTTTCTTCTTTTTTTTTTTATGATGCTGATGGGGTTTTTTTTAATCATCTTGAGAACATCCTTTCTATGTTTCTTCTGTGGTCGGGTTTTTGAAGAATTTTCAGTGGTAGTTTTAATCTAAAAATGTTGTTTTCATCTTAACAAAAAACTCATTATGTTTGAACTAGTAGAGAGAATTTTTGACTTTTTTAAAATCCATAAAAGCCAATTTATTAATACTAAACAACAGGAATATGTACTTTTTTTTATGGCTAAACGATTTCAATAAATATTAGTCGGTATAATTTTTATTTTTTATTCTAACAACTAGACTTTTATATCTGATTGTGTTTCTGTCTTGCCTGTCATTGCTCTGTTTAATTTGAGACCGTTTTAATCCATCAAAATTTAGTTTCTCTGTTTATATAGTACATTTAAAAAGATTATAAACAGAAATGCGTGATTACATTGGATCAGATTGTATTCACTTCAAACTACAGAACAGCAAAATTAATTTTCTGAGGTTTGATTTGGACTGAGGTCAGGTTGGTTCCCACTTCTTATACTAATAGATTTTTATGCCAATCTTTCCTGCCTACTGTCACCAGAGGCATTCATATACATTTCATATCTGGATTTGCATTTCTGGACTGAATGTTTCAAACTTCGCTAGAAAAACTAGTAGAGAACTTGGAGGATAGTTTTTCTCAAAGTAGCCCATTTTCCACTTTCTGTTTCTTAGACACCAACAAGAAAATAGTTCTGCCCAGAATATGGTTGCAGACCAAGCCGCAAAATTTGACCGTTTCATTCTCGTTTTGTCTGTTTTCCTAGTTTATGGGATGGTACCGTTCCTTAATGCTATCCTGGGAACCATGTTGCCAATGCTGAGCATGGCCAAGCAGGACAACATGAAGTGGGTCTTTTCATCTGGTAAAGCTCCACCCCCCTCCACCACACGCTTCTGTTAATTTCACTATAAAATGTTTTTCCCTCATATTTCTTTGAGGGAGTAATTTCAACATATCCTGTTTTTTGTTTTCTCCTCTTCCCTCTCTACTTGCAGCGCTGTGTCATTTCAGTGAAAGTATCCTGGAGTATTTGGCCAACCTCGACAAAGCGCCAGATCCTACAGTGAGAAAAGATGCGTTCTCCAGTGAAATTTATGCAGCTTTTGACATTCTCTTCAATAACTGGTTACAAAGCCGAGAGCCTAAGGTAAAGAAAGAAAGCTAATATCAGTACTGAAGGTTGTCTACAACATCTGAATAACACAACCTAATGTTAGCGTAAAGTTGCATGTTCTAGGTGTAGTTGGGAGAAAAAAATTTTTATTCTACCAAGAAATAACGTTTCTCCCAGAAACACGAGGACTTTGTGTTTGTGTTGGTCCACATTAAAGAGATTCTCTGACCAACAGTCCCTCCACTGTTCTCCATAATTGAAGGCAACATCGGACCCATCATAGATCATTATAGAGACTACTAAGAAGTTAACTTAAGGCTCATGCATTTGAAGGGAATATCTCTGGTATAATTTCTTCTTTTATTTTGTATTAATTGTGTGAAGCAGGAACTTGTAAATATGCTCTTCTTGGTTTTCATGTTTTATTTATTGACTTACCAACATTTTAGCCCCCCATGACCAGTGAACACTCAATTCTTCAGCCAGTCTGTCACTTCATATCCTGCCTGTCTTTGTGTGTCCTCCAGTTGAGGCTGACAGTGGGTGAGGCAGTGGGCTCTATGTGTCATCTGATGGCCAATGATAAACTGGAGGAACAGATCCCCCGAATCATCCCTGCCATCATGTCCCTGTACAAGAAAAACACTGAGCACTATGTCATCAGTAAGGTGGGTTCCGTCCAAAACTCTTCAACTTTGGCTGGGTTTTCCTGAATATATTGTTGGACCTTTATAAAAATCTCCTACTTGAACAAGTTTTAAAAAGAAATGCATTTAAGTTTTGCAACACCAGACTTTTAAGGTCAATCTGAGGTTAATGCTTTCCCTTTGCTCTGAACAGAGCTTGTGCCAAGTCCTCGAAGCCTCGGTCAACATGGGGAGCAGAGTGCTGGAAACACAGCTGGATGGTCTTCTCTTAGCGCTGCATCAGCAGGTACTCCAAGTGAACAATGAGTTGGACACGGTAGCTTCAGTTTGAGTGAACTGTTTGTTTAGTTGTGTCAGGTCACATGTCATTGTAGTGGCAGTCATCTGCTTACATGGACTTAAGACTATGAAAGCACCTTAACAATGCTCGTTACTGTGAACTTTAACCTCAAAAGACCTGATTGACGTGCAGAAAATCTGTAAAGCATTATAGAATTGAACCATGGGGTTTATTTTTATTTCCTTTGAGGAAACTGTTTTTCTTTTCTACAACTTTGATTTGAAAAGTAAAAAAACTCAAAAGAAAATGTATGATTTTTCTCATTTTCTTGTGGTTTCTTGCACAAGTTACTCTGATGTACAGAGACAGCAGCACTTAAAACATCCAGTTCTAAGTGCTGATGACTGATTGAAAACTAAAAAATCTTTTTTCCTCATCAGTGAATGCATCACACCTAAACTCTACTTTCACTCTGTGAAAGTTAATGAACAACTCAGACTTATGTTTAGATATGTTTAGAGTCAGAGGTGTTTAAAAATTAAGTCAAAAGAGGCTTTGAAGTACTAAAGAATATTAAAAGGCAAACTTAATTTTCTAAAACACGTGAACATGTTTTCAGTTCCTTCAGGCTGCAAAAGAGATCAAGACTTAATGCAGAGAACAGGAAGGCTTAGTAGAGCACAGAAAGTTCTGTGCTAATATTTTCAGCTCTTTCAAAGTATGTCTTCTATTTTTATCCTTTTAGAAAATCTATAGTTCATAACATTTTGTAGGTAAAATGCACTTTTTCTAAATTTCTAAGTGGTGTCTGTTTCCCTTTTACTGCAGCCTAACTTTTAGTTATGTAGTTATTTTCATATTACTTTGTGTGCTTACCTCTATGTGATTTTTTTTTTTTTCTTACTATCGGAGCCAAATCTCCCCTCTATGGGACACTAAGGGTATTTCTTATCTTATCTTGATATTTTATGCTCAGAGGCTGCTGTTCTGTCAAGCTTATCACCAAGATAAGATGGTGTAGTGATTGTTCTCTCACACAAGCATAGCCTCTGCTCCTTTTTTGAATGAATTAATCAATACCTAGTTGGAAGATTTAAAATATACGTTATTTGTTTAGAAAGAAAAAAAACAACAACCCAACTTTGGCTGCAAGTGGGATCCACAGGTTTAAGTTTTACAACAAAATGAGATTAGAGATCAAATATATATATATATATATATTTTTTCATGCAGGTTTCAGCTCCTGTCGATTACAGCGACCCTCCTACTGTGAAGAACCACAATGAAGCGTTGCGTTGCTTTAGCTTGCTGGGTAATATGTTGTTTTTTTTTTATTTGTTTTTCTCCATTGAAAATAGACCTGTGTTAACATTTACAACCTCATCCAGCTGCCTGATCTACAGGCTGTAGCTCTATGGAGTCACAAGTGTAGTAATGAGATCATGCATTAGTGAGTTAGGCTGTCTCCTCCTCCTCATAATCTTGTTAACTGGGAAAATTGCTGCACAGCTCCCCCCCCTTTACATAATTGTTGTTTTCCTGTTTTTATCTTTTTTTTTCTATTTAATTATTTAAGATCTTTGCCCTTCTGTCAACATATCCACCTCAGCTGTTCATTCCTGTTGTTTGTTCCTGCTCTCTTTCTCTCTCCTTCCAGCCAACTCTTTTCCAGACCGACTGGTTATGTATGTTCTGCAGAAGTTGGAGAACAGCAATGAACGAAGCAGGATGGGCTCCTTAGCTGTCCTTCGTCACCTCATAAACTCTTCCTGTGAGGAGAAAAATGTGCAATCACACATTAATTTCTTTGAATTAAAAAAAAATGATTTTTGTTCACTCAAATCATGTTTTTTACAGCTTCTATAATGGAGAGCAAAAAGCTTCTCATTCTGGCCAGTATTAGACAGCCAATGGCAGACCACAGCAACAAGGTAACATTACTGAGGAAGCAAAGAGTCGTCCTTTCTTTTTGTTTTTCTTTGGGTAATGGGGTTTTTTATTCATGTTGTAAATTTTTGGAGTTTTATGTATTTCCCTAGTCTGTACGACTATTAAAGCAAAAATGTAGCCCGGAAACATATAATTTCTAGACTTTTTTTATTTTCTGATAGTCAGCATGATTATAATAAAATGATGGATTTTTTTTTTTTACCATGATCCCTAGCTCCTGTTTATACATTTTAATAAGGGGCTAAAAATGAGAAACTATGAAATGTTGAGAGAAATGTCTAAAAACTCTGCAATCTTTCAGATCCTTAAGAAATATTCCTCATATTGCATGTGAATGAGGACAGGTTTGTCTCGCAGGTGAAGAAGCGTGTTGTCCAGGTAATCAGCGCAATGGCTCATCATGGTTACCTGGAACTGGAGGGAGGGGAATTACTGGTCCGGTTCATCGTTCAAAACTGCGCTTTACACGACACATACCAGGTAGAACCAACTTTAAACATCTCTTAGGACTTTGATGCTTACGCTTGTTTCAGTTTAATTAAGGAAGGGGAATTGGAAGCAAAGCCGTGGTATAAAATAAAACCGTTTAAGGAGTGCATCATATATACAGATGGCAGGAAAAGGGAAATGTACTTAATTAACTTAATGTTTCAGCTATGATTAAAGCTGTTCAGTGACCTCAGAAGCGAACCAATTGATGTCTAGACAGATCGACAGATCTCACTCATAAAGTTTAATATAATTGATATTTTTTAACAGCTGATGTTAAAAGATAAATGTTTCCTGATTAGTATTTGTGTTCCGTTTCTCAAAGTCCCACCAAAGGCCCAATGCGGACCCAGAGGATGTGACTAACGAGGCTCTGAGGGCGATGTGTGACAGCACCCTCCATCTCCTTACCACCACTGTTGGCCGACTAGCTGATGTAAATATCTGCTCGTTCACATCTACCTCCGTCTTTGTCATGGATGATAAACACTAATAATCTTACCATGTCTCTCATGTTGATGTACATTTTTTTTTAAAGGTGCTCTGGCCCAAGTTGCTTTACTATCTCACACCTTCCCAGTACAGTATTGCCACTACTCCTCTTTGTAAAAGTCTCATAGTTTTGGGGAACAAGAAGAAAAGCAACCAGGAGCCCAGCTTCAAGATAGACTTCACTCAGGAGGGTGGGTGTAATGTTTCTACTTTAAAAGTGTGAACCTGACTGCAGTCTGTATGAGGCCCTAAAAGTAGAATAACCCTCAGTGAAGATACCACAGCATTTAATTCAATCATAAATAATTGATAGTTGTACTGCTTTTAAGAATTTTACTGTTATGATCATTTTGTTACTATCTTGTATTTAGTTGTCTCAATTAGTGTTAATTTTAGCAGCCATTTCTGAATTTAGTTTCAGTTTTAGTCCAGTTTCAGCATCTCTTGTTAGTTTTGATCACATTTAGTCGACATCATCCCATTTTTATTTAGCCTTGTTTTAGTATAAGTCAGAGCATTTTAGTCTTTGTTTTAGTCCAAGAAAACATTATTTTATTCGTTTAGTTTTAGTCAACAAAAACTGTCAACATTTTACTCTAGTTTTAGTCAGGACATCATTTTAATCATTTACTTTTTTTTTCAGCAGATAATATATAACATTTCCTAAAATTATTTCACATTTCAACATTTTCTCATCTTTTTGAGAAAAAACACAATTTTAAGGAACACAAGCAGACATGGAAGATGTTCTGACTATATTTGCATATTTATCTTGAACATTGTTAAGGTTCAAAGACACAAACACAAATGCTTGCATTAAAACAAATAAAATAAACCTGACAAAGGAAACAAATAAATAAAATAAAGTGTCTTATGAACTTAACACAAGTGCTGGCTGTTTAAAGCTAGTTCACATAGAATAATAAAATAGATTTGAGGTCAATGTTGTGGAAAAAAAAAAAAAAACTCCAACTGATACAACAAAAGTGCTTTTCCTGTCAGCTATAGCTGGCCTCTCATTGTTTCTGGGTGGCTGCAGGGTGAAACATTAAAAACAAAAATCACTACTCTATTTAGAGTGCAGGGGGCGCTCCAGTATGTTCCCACACTCCTGCTATCCATGGCTTTAGTGATGATAAATATTGGTGGTATTTCTAGTGAGGTAAAGTTGTCGCAGCCTTTTTATATCCAGTTTACTGCCGAACATTATTTGTTATGGCGTCTGAGAAAAAAGGACTTTCAGCTCTTTGAGCGTAGAAATTCCAACAGTTTTCAGCATATAACTTTTTAAAAGCTCAGTATACTTTGATGACTATCACTGATATACGCTTACTGTAAAATGCATTCTTTCTACTCATTAAGACAGCAATAAAATGGGCAGATGTGGAAAAAAATAGCTTTAGCATACAAGTCATCAAAAGGAAAGAAGTTGTTTTTTATGGCATGTGTTGTTCTGATGATTAATTTCAGTCCCGCATTCTTCTTTTCTTTTTTTTTTTTTCTCACCATCAGTAAATCTCCCATCTCCTCACACTCTGATGATCAGACTGCTGGTAAGTCAATTTGCACATGACAAATTAACCATGAGCCCATATGCTAAAAGCAGGATTTGCATAATATTCCTTTTCAGCATTTACAGAGTAAATTAATTGCTGCAGGAAAATAATTGCAATGTGGTGGAAGAGGCGGAGGAGGAGCAGACTGTGATCAAATGCAAATTTGTCTCACTGACTGATATTTAGTAACACACTGCAGGATATGACTTGTTATGTTTTTTGATTTCTTCCCTGATTAAGATTCCAGTTA